AGTAATGCATTCTTCTCGAGATTGAGCGAAGCGTCATGGGTTTTTAATTAAAAAATGTCATGTTTTCTTTGGAGCAACCAGTAAAAGTCACACGATCTTACAAAAAATGCTCGGAATTTATGTAATTAAGAACCAAGTGTTTTTACATTTTGTACATGGGCAAAGTAAGGCTGATTATCAAACAAACCAAAAATTCCAAAACGCATATCGTCACCTTCCGGCCAGAGTGTCACTAGCGCCGTGCAATGTTTTAAAATTTCCACTGCCATTTTATTTTTCTACAGAGAAATTGATCAACGAAGCTGTCCGAAAATTTCACCGATTTTTTTTGCGCTGCCGATAAAATTCGGTGAAATTTTCAAACAGATTCAACCTACAGTTTCTTTATAAAAATATAAAATGGCGACGGAAATTTTGAAACTCCGCATGGCACTTGTAATACTTTGGCCGGAGGCTGACGGATTATCAAACAAACCAAAAGTTCTAAAATGTATATACTGGAGAAGCGCTCAATAGTGCGTGACATTCTATAGTGAATAATTCAAATTGTCTCATCATATTCAACGCTCCTTTGAATGATTACATAATATAAGAAATCATTCACCATCAAATAAAAAATAAAATTGTTCACCTCATGCTGTTTGGCAAGACTGAAAGGCAGTTGGCACTCAAGCATTAAGGCAACTCTTTCAATGTGTGTAAACGAATCTTAAGCAATTTATTTTCGGGCTCCAAAACAAAGCAATCAATTCGTCGCCCTCCTGACACAAGGGCGTAACTATACTTCGCAATGAGCTCTATCGTCCATATAACTCAAGGTTCTCCCAGGCTCATCTCAGATTGTACTTATGCTCTTTTGTCAGCCAAGCGACGAATTGTAAGAACTCGCTTAATTTTTCTCCCTTGAATTGGCTATTATGAGAAAACTTTGAGCTTCTGGCTTGTATAATTTTCAGCTTTGTCCTACTCATATGTTCAATTTCTGTCCTTCATTATCCCATTTTCCGAGCTGAGCAGATAATAGGCTGAACTTGGCCCCTGTAATGATAGCTAGTCGAGAAATTCTCCCGCCAGCTACGCTATCGATGAAAAAGAATCTGTCATCTCTGGATGAACGCCAAAATCCGTGCTTAGTTTTATCACACCACACTGGTGTCCCGCCGTGCTAAGGAAAATTACCGTATGGACATTCAAGAGTTGTCACATTTCCTTCGATAAAATGTTTTTTTTTTTAGGAAAGCTATGGATATTTTTCCTTGAATTTTTCAGGAAATTTAGGTGAAATTTCAAACAAAATTATCCGAACAATCGGAGGAAAACGTTTACAAATTTTCCCGAAAATTCGTGATTTATTCGAGGAAAGTTGGCAACGCCTGAGAACTCATACGGTGTTTTTCCTTCTCACGGCAGTGTTCTCCGATTCCGAAAGTTATCAATTCCTCAGAGGTGCCGAACTCACAACTTTTTATAGCGTGAGGCGGAAAGGGGAGAAAGGGGTGGATTTGAAATTGGAGGACGAACCTTGAAAGGAAACAATCTACGGTCACCCTCGACGGTTTCCGCCGAACAAGAGATAAAAATCCACGTATGGCACGAAAAAAATTGATTTTGGAATGGAGGACTTGATAATGATACTGCAACATTCTAGCTTATCTGCAATGGAATCGCGAATTTCCACTTGAGCGGGTGCATGTTTTATCGTTTAGGTTTGTGCAGTCATTAGAAATATATGTGTTGGAAACCATTTATTAACTTAGACTTTTGGTCAAAGGCCCAAGCAGTTGATTACATTTTTCACATTTATAATGCCTTCCATTTCAAGCGCTCATCCGATAAGGAGCGCTTTTTTATTTCTACCTGTCTCTGGAATTGTAGTATACTAGTTTTGTATTGTAGTATACCGTTCAAATGGCGCACCAGCTCAACAGCAAGATGGCGAATACGACTTTTCAACGACTCGAGCGTGCACCGTGGTATACGCGCAATGCATGAAGTATCCTGCAGGCTTGTAAGGCGCTCCTATGCCTTCCGCGCACCGTGCTGTACGCGCAATGCATGAAGTATCTCGCGGTTTTGGGAAGCGCTTATATGCGAAATAGCCTTCAAACTTCACTATATTGCGTTCAAATGGCGCACCGGCTCAACAACAAGATGGCGAATAGAGGTTTCACAAATTTAGAATAAATTTATCTGTTATACGTTTATTTAATGCTCCTGGTATCGAAGAAAAGAGGGCGATAATCGGTTTTCTATAATTTATTTTTTGACGGTGGTGTAGCTTTCAGGGGTGGGTTTAACATAGTTAAAATAGATTAATCTACGATACCTTTATTTATTGCTTCTGATTTGATTTCAAAGCACGGTAAGAATGGATAATTATGAAAAAATGGCTGTTTTTAGTTTTCCTACCTTTATTCGCTTATCTCCCAACCAAACAGCTTTAAATGTTGTGTGCCTCGACCTGAATTATGTAGAAGTGGAGATCGGTCTCCTAAATTCAATTACCAGCACACACTTCTTTTTCAGAATAAATAAAACAAAAAATGAGGATTTCGACTCCAAGACGAGGATTCTCGTCGACCGGGTTTTATTGCGATTACGCGAGGACGAGACTTCTCGTCCTTACTGCCATGCTGAGGAAGAATGCAGCATGAACATTCGAGAGTTGCCAAATTTCCTTAGATAAAACATGTATTTTTGACAACATTCATGATATTTTTCCTTGAAATTTTCAGATATTTTAGATTAAATTACGCACAAAAATGTCTAAAAATTTTGGAAAATAATATTCAAAATTTTCCCAATAATTTCGGTTTTTATCGGTGGAAACTTGGCAACGTCTGTAGGCTCATACGGCGTTCTTCCTTAGCACGGCAGCATAGGAGTCAAGGGTTTTAAGTTAAGGTCCAGTTACACGATCAAATTGGGCCTCTCATTGGTCGCATCCTCACCTCAGGTCTTTTTCCACCAATCAGAGCTTCAATTTGATGGCTCAATTTGATCGTGTAACTGGACCATTAGGAGAGAGTTTCCGCAAACAAAGTACGCGCATAATGGATTTGCTGCACATATAAATGGCAGGGGTGCAACAGGCAACCACGCAAGGAGTAAAGGGATTACATCGGCTCCTTACGAAAAGGATTTAGACTTATCTGAATAATATCCCTGGGGGTTTCAGGGATTACCGATTTGACCGAAAAAATAATATTCCTCCTGCGGTGGGAGCCTTCAAGAGTCGCAGCGAGCTAGGGCGAATCAAAATATTTTCTTGGGTTTTTGTTTGATGAATGCGTGATAGAAAACTCTGAGCGGTTGCTTTCGGGTCTCGGGCGAGTTGGCTCCGGATTTTCATCGAAGAATCAAATAATGCGACCCCTTAGGATTGACTATGATTTCAAGGTGATTCTAGTCCCAAGAGTAATTGGACTGCATTTTGCAATTTGGAACTTTAAATTCTGGCTCATCTTAAAAAACACTTATGTGCATAAGGAAACTAATGGCACATACGTTGTTTTTAAACCGGGCCAGAATTTATAGTTCCAAATTGTAAAATGCAGTCCAATGTTAACTCTCTTTAAATTTGCGAATCTCTCTCAAGATCACATTCATTGTCGTTCCATAAGCAGCTTATTTCCTATACTGAAAAAAAAATATTGCTGAAAGTGCCGTGCACGCGGGTATTTCATGACATGGTGTAGCTAAAAAACGAACGTGCAAACCATGCAGGTAAAATCGCTACACAAATTTCAGCTAACTTACACACACGCGTGTAGGTGATTTTGCTCTCTGAAAAGCTACGCTTGTTACCTTTTTAGTTATTCTTCCGTAAATTTCGCTATTTTTCCGTAAATACCGCTATTTCAGCCTAACTATTGAGCTATTTTTACTGTTCGCAAAGTACCAATACCAAAAAATGCAGTTACACTTCCAAGCCACTTGATGCAAGATTAACTGCATGAAGGCGCGCAAATGTAGCAAATCGGTGTAGCAATTCGTGCTAGTCGTTCACTTGATTCAACACCGTGCACGGATAAGAAAGCTTTACGAAGTGAAGCAAATTTTGCTCCACCCTAAATCGGTGAATTAGCAATCCTTTTTTTTCAGTGTAGGAAAGGCCGCAATATGGTTTGTAGTGTGACCAAGGAGGTATTCAAAATAGTTTATGGGTGGAAAAAGAATTCGGAGCCTTGGTTATAGAAGACAAAGTATGAAAATCAAAAAATTCTTCAAGTAACAGAGCTGGTCATTCTTTAGGAGAGTTATGAATATTTTTCCTTGAAATTTTTAGGAATCTTCGGTGATATTGCGAGTAAAATTATTTGAAACATTGGAAGAAAAATATTCACAAGTTAACTAGGAAATTCGTGTTTTATCGAATGAAATTTGGCAACGCCTAATACGGCGTTCTTCCTGGGCACGACAGAATTGCGAAATGCAGTCCACTTGGATCGCATTTACTAAAAAGAGACCAGCGTGATTACAGTGTTGTAAAAATGTTGCTTCTTCGTAATTATCTAAGCAATCTCCCAGAATAGCAAATGTTTTTTGCTTCCTACCATAAATTTGTTAATCTAATAAGAAAATAATTGTGTAAATTTTAATTCTTCACATTTTTCTAGTATTTTGTACAGAAAAGAAGAAGTTGCACAGTTTTGAAAACACTGTAATCGCGCTGGTTCCTTTTGGCTAAATGCAGTCCAATAATTCACGGTCCGTTAGCACTCTGCCACGGTCGTAATATTTTCGGTCAACATGTTCGCAAATCACCGAAGCCCGGGTATCAAATCAACGGCTCCGAGCGAAATTCGCTCCAATCATGTCGCTTTGTCCATCATGGAAATTTAATTAAAAAGTCGTTTTAAAGTTTTGATTGCGCGAAGCAGGGGTNNNGGGGGGGGGGGGGGGTAGTAATTACTGGCCCCAAAACGCGGGTCTTGTTTTACCGGGACGAATTTCGTTCTCAGCGGTTGATTTTGCTTTGTTTTCTGTCTCTGTTCCAGAACGTGTCGATCCTGGTGACGCTCCTGTACAGCTGGCGAATCAGCGCCAACATGAAAAAAGCGGCCGATCTGGAGGATGTGTACTACGGTGAGTCGGCACAATGAATTTGAAGTTTACTCAAAAGTTTCGTAGCGTGCACTGAAAAAAACGGTATGCTGTTTTAGCACCTAGGATGTCAAAAACGTGTCTGGCGATCCTAAGATGCTACCTTGATTTCCCACGCAGTTGAATATGCATTCATAGGATGTAAAGTTGACTGTGAGGGCAGTAAACGCAGGCAGCTTCTTTGGATCACCGGACACATTTTTGACATCCTAGATGCTGAAACAGCATATTATTTTTTTCAGTGTGAAAGTATATACGGCGACTGTCTGTCCAATAGCTAGCAGTGGCGTGGCGTGAATCGCGATGTATCGAATGTTCTGTCATTTGAACCTATGATAAAGAATCGATTATTAAGGTGTTCGCTACGAACACCCTATTTATCGATCCTTTTCCATAGGTTTAAATGGCATAACAATCGATAAATCGCAATTCACGCCACGCCACTGGTGGCGAGACGAGAAATTATCGAAATGGCAACTTGCTGTGCAACGCGAAAACGCCGTAAACGCCATTTCAATTCTTTGGAAACAATGTATCAGAGCAGAAATACTTGGGTACCTTGGGACAATGTTTTTACAGAATTCTTTTGCGAACACTATCAAGAACTTAACCTGAAAATTTGAGGTACGTGGGTAAAAAAGTTTTTATTTTATAAAGTGCTAAGTTCCTAAAACGAGGAGAAATCTTGCTGGATTTACGGCGTTCTTGCTTAGCACGGCAGCAATACTCTCAATATTAGGCGCTACCGCGAATGAATCGCCTTCAATTGCACGCATAGGCAATTTGACTACATTGACGTTCGAATAGTTGCCCTCTCGTCGCCCGAGCGTTTCATACTCAATTGAACAGAGGTTTGTCATAGAATTGGTGCATGTGGCTTTAGAGGCGTATTCATTTCGTCTCTGATTAGTTCTTTTCCATAGGGAAGTTTTAAGTGGCGAGGGGTGACGGTCGAATACCGATTTTTTCCCATTTGAAACTATGGCAAAGAATCGATTATCAAAGTGTCCGTTGCAAATAACACCCTATGAATCGACGCTGTTTCATAGATTGAAATGAGAGGTAAATCGATGTATCGCAAAGCACGCCTCACGGTGGATAGAGTGAATTAAAGAGGTTGGACATGCAACTTTTGACTAGAACTGAATTTTGATATTTAATTCGTGGAAATTTAAATTGTAAATGGGTGCACCCAGAAGAAAATGTCACGTGGAAACCAACAGAGCCGCATTTGAACCCTCAAAGTTCTGTATGAACGGAGTTATGAGCTTTTAAAATTCCCAAATTTCGCTCGATCTCTCATTTTAACTCGATCTACCGTGCGGCACCGTTAATGCCGCAAGTGTGCACTGTGTACGACCATCGAGAGAGTGAATAAAATTGGACTAACTTTGAGATCGGAACTATACTTTCTGGCTCATCCGTAATAAAACTTGTGTGCTTAGGGAAACCGGCGGTACACACCTTGTTTCCAAACTGAGTCATTGTAGCTCTTCATTGCAAAATGAAGTTCAATAATTGTCACCCATGCTGCTGGTAGTAAATTTGCCAATTTTTCCATTCATTGGAAAAAACAGTCTCTTGGATTCAGAGTCCAGACTCTTAAAAAACATTTTAATGCCAATTTGGCTGGCTTTGATAAAACATGGTAAAATGATTGAAAAAATAATCTAGCTACAAGCCAAAAATAAATTAAACAAATAATATTTCAAACTATGTAGAGATGTGAAATAATGAGAAACTTAGGTACAGGAAACAAAACAAACGTTTCGGGCGCCAACAAGCTACTTATGTAGTTTGAAATATTATTTGTTTAATTTAGCTTCGGCTCGTAGCTCGAGCTTTTTTCAATCATTATACCATATTCTTAAAAAAAATTGGCAAAAAAAATAATCCTGATTTAATCGGATTCTTGCATTAAGAGGCCTAGCTCTTGATTAAAGCAAAAATCCGATTAAATCAAGGGTATTTTTTCAAGTCAAATTTTTGAGGAGTCTGGATTATGGCTCCGAGACACTTTTTCCCAGTGTTAGATTCCGAAGTAAGTTCCTGTTCCAACTTTTTTTTGAATCAAAGAAAAACTTTTTGTGCACGGAGAAAAAAAAATTCGTGCGTGATTACCGAAGTTTAGGTCATATGGATCTCTGAAGTTTTCGGATTGAGCATCCGAACACGTAAGGTCCAGCTGCTGAGGTTTGGATCACACATCTGAAATTTCAGTTCCTACATCTGAAGTACTTCGATTTTCATATCCGAAAAACTTCGGATCTCACATCTAAAGTACTTCAGATGTAAGAACTGAAGTTTCAGATGTGTGATCCGAACCTCGACAGCTAGACCTAAAGTGTTAAGATGCTCAATCTGAAAACTTCAGAGATCCATACGACCTAAACTTTTGGTCCCACGCACGAGGTTTTTTTCTCCTTGTGTTTTCCAGAAAACTCGTATTTCGACGGCAGAAATTTGGCTCTGTTTGAGTGTCTACTTTAGAGTAGGATCGCTGAGACTGTGAGTTGCGGATGAGAAGCTCCCAAGGCTCGACATTCGAACGAAAAGTTCTCACCGACTGAAATAGGTCCTCGGCTCAAAATCCGGGGCGAAAGGAGATAATTAAAGAACTCACGAGGAGGCATTAAAAGTTCGTTGATTCATTAACGCTCTCGGCGATACGTTCGGTTAGCTCTCCAAAATATCGAATCAACGGCCGAGATTTCATCAAGCATCAGCTCACTTCTGTGGTGTCATATCATAGCTAATCAGGGAATGTTGTCAGGTTTTTCCCAATGGAATATTCAATTTTGATGAATGGATTGCATATTACTGAAAGGAATTAAGAGCATTCCAATGTCACACAGTCCCGGTAGTCTTGAATAAAAAAACGCCACAAAAATGTACCCAAAACGGTGTGATTCTAATAGTTTTCTCGCAAGTTTCCCTTCTGAACCACCCCTAAAATTGAAAATATGACAAAATAAACATCTGATTTTGAAATTTTAGCTAAAAATGTCATGTCCGACCTCTTCTATTAGGTTGCTCCACTGCACAGTGGTCTTGAAGCAAAAAAAAATGCAACGCAAATTTACCCAAAACGGTTCGCAGGGGGTGAGGTGCGTGTGGACTTAAAATCGCGGAAAATCAAAACCTTGGCTGATCCTGATTTCGAGATACCGCAGTTTGAAATTTTCATAGTGAATGCAAGTATTCCACTGATTTTGATCAGCTTTTTTATATATTTGTCCGTGGAATCTGTGTTGACCGGTTCACGTTTTTATTCTTCGTTCGATTCATTTCGATCTAATACATACCCTCTCGTTATACGCAGACTTCCTATCATACTCTTTTTTTTTCTGAACAATTCGCCTTCTGCTGCGTCTGCAGCGATTGTTGTTACGGATATGTTGTGCGTGCTGATTAGGGCTCATTACATACTCGACTCTCTGAAGGCGTTTTATGTGCACAAGTAGCGCAATCTATTGGAAAACGAACGAGGTAGGGATTAATCGATTCGTTTAATCTCACTTCTGTTGTTCTCCAACAGGGTGCTCTACATTCGCACATTAAGCGCCTTCGACGAGTCAATTATGTAATGAGGGGGCACAACGTATTTGTAACATTAATTGATGCGGACGCAGCTGAAGGCGAATTGAAAACAACCGTATAAAACATGATATATGATTTATCGTCCGATGTTTTGGTGGGCCGTAGCTCCGATTGCGGGAGCACTTTCGGAAAAAAACTTGAAACAACAAATAAGTCTTATTTTGACCTATTGAACACGCTCCTGCAGTCTGGTCGTTTAACCCTGGATCACCCTGTATATCTATTGGGTCAGACGTTGGGACTGGCAAGAATCTCTTCAATGATAAAGGTCGTCTTTTAATATACCATGCTATAGGAAGAACGCCGTATGAACATTCGAGAGTTGCCAAATTTCATTCGATAAAATGTTCATTTTTGAGGAAAATTATGCATATATTTCCTTGAAATTTTCAGACGTAGTAGATCAAATTTCAACTAAAATTATCTGAGAAATTGGTAGACATACATTCAAAAATTTTCCTGAAAATTAGTGATTTGTCAGGGGAAATGTGGCAACGCCTGATGGCTCATAAGGCGTTTTCCCTTAGTATTAGTTAGAATCCCTTTATACCCAGAGTTAAGACAACTCGATTATCAGCTGACTGGCAGCCGACCTTGGTTGGCCATGGAGGCCGAAACGAGTGCACCCAAACGAACGATATTGAGGGATAAGGATCAGGAATCCTGCGATGTCTGTCACACAAAAACAACAACATCAACAAATTGATCAATTAAAAAGAAAATGGGATTGGTTTGTGAATAATTTCTTAATCTATATTCATTTTGGACCGATGGAAATTACAAGTTACTCTTGATAAACCACAATTAGGTAATATTTTCATTATTCTTGTTCACATTCGAGGTACCGCCATCTTGGTGCACTCGTTTCGGCCTCCATGAGCGAGAACCAATCAGAATTGGATTTTTTTTTTAGGCCACTTTCAGCCCAATCCTGGCCCAACCAAAAGTGAGTTGTCGTAACTCTGGGTATAAAGGGACTCTAGTATTAGTCGAACGCCGCAAGGGTAGCGAAATCTATCTTCGTTCCTGAACATCTTTTGCGCAACAGCAGTTTCATGTAACCAGAGGCTCGTGCAAAAATGAAGATAGACCGCTCTTGTATGAGAAACGGCAGTCGGTTCGGCCCTCGGGGATCCCTCATCTCGCCGACCCTCGCCAATCTCGATCACGTTCGGGCGGGCACTCAACGCTACCCGCGACTGAAAAATTGCCATTGCACCGAGATAATGCCGGCGCCTCTGCCTGATTGAAACCTTCGCCGCCGCGGGGCTCGTGTCCGTAGCTGTGCAATCCCTTATCGTCGTTTTCCTCACGAAAGCACGTAACTACATTTCAATGTTGCCAAATTTCCTTTCGTAAATTGCATTTTAACCAGAAAAGTA